AAATCAAAATAACGGGCACATTATCATTGATATTTGATAGGCGCATGTTGGTCCATTCAAAGCAATAGTGGATTTCTTTTTTAATTTTATAATCACTAATAAGGATTTTTTGAATATTTAAGTAAAAGAAAGCTTATTAGATATGTATTGAGTTAATTATTTGTATATTGCGGAGGGACCATTCTTCTTTATATTCATATAATTTGATTCCATACTTGAAATGGAATGTGAAATAAAGGAACAAGAACAAAATAAAGACGCATACAAACATTTACAAAAGAAACACAAAGTACGATTTCAAAATTCTTTGTGTAGAAAAGAAGGAAAATAAACAAGATGAGTTCAACGTGACAATCTTTCTTACTGCTAAACATTTTATGATAAGAGAAATATTACATTCGAAATTGTAAAAAAATCATCAATCCCTGTTTCGGTTTATGCTCAAATCCAATAAAGGGAGATTTTCATCGAATTTGAATGTATGTATTGGTAGATATGAACTGGATATGGTTAATCCGTCGGTAGTCAAATAAAATCTGTAATAATAAAAATAATAGGGTTAAGGGATATTAACAAAGCTAATCACTTTTTTTATAAAGGTTTAACAAAAATAACATTTATTCTATAAATTTGAAATTAACCAACTTGCCTGTAATGTATTATTCAGAAATCGGATGAAAACAGGTAATGTATTAACCAACTTCAACAAAAATAACATTTATTCTATAAATTTGAAATTAACCAACTTGCCTGTAATGTATTATTCAGAAACGGATGAAAACAGGTCAAACTCATTTGTGTGGTCATGTCTTATATAAATGGGACCAGCAATTCATACAGCATTGGTATTCCGGAAAAATCTGGAAAAATAAAAAAATAAAATAAAATAATCGAAAATTAAGCGTCATAGCTTTTTTGAAAAAAAAAAAAAACATGGATTCTACAAATTAGATTAGTTTACATGTTTATTTACTTAGATTTTATGTCATAATGTGTATAGCACACATCTTTGAAATACGCATAAGAAGTCCGAAAAGTATCTTTTTTATATATGTGGGCATTTATTTCAATATACTATGGAGTGTATCTTCTATGTAGGCATGTATTTTATTTTACTTTTATTTTTTGTAGATTAGTACTATGTGTTTTGATAACATGTTCGTAGGCCAAGCAACCTTAGAAAAACACTTCGGAATGTCAATATTGTCCAGAATAACACGATCAGTTCCAGGTGCGAAAAACTTTCCAAAATGGTTTTTTAATTTCTTTAGGAAAACATTATGTTAGTAGTACAATATAGTATTTTTTTAAATAAGGAATAATGATTTATATACAACCAAAATTTCAGAATCACTCTAAAATCCGAAGTAAGAGTTTGAATTAGAACGTACGTTCACCCGATCAATTTGCATTGATGTTGTTTAAAAAAATAGGTTTTACAAAGAAAGAGATAATAACACACCTATAAAAATTTTCAGAATTAGATTGGTTTAAGGTAAGGATTCATATTTTATAGTACAAAAAGTATACATTTTTATGGCAAGAGAAAATATCGAGGCACCCACCAAAGTCAAATTGTGAAATTAAGAAACAAATCAGAGATGTTATTAACGTTTAAACTGAAAGCATATATATCTCCTATAAACGGGATGTCAAGCCTTGATAATGATATCGTTTTATACTAGTGTAACATGTTTTTTTGGATATCGATAACTCCACATCAATGGCGGAACCTGAAATTTTGATATGGAGGTACAAACATTGTCGATATATATTATATGCAATTATTCAAAATTGGGCATTAAAAACATGCTATAATCTCTTTAATTGGGAGTACAATATCACCAAACATGTTTACAAATAATATATATATATATATATATATATATATATATATATATATAGAGAGAGAGAGAGAGAGAGAGATAGGTTCAGGTGTTTAAAATAATTATTGTGTTATTGTATGCATAAATATGGACCAGTCATTTTAAAAACCTAGATAGGGGTAAAATTGTAATCTTAGCTTTTAATTAATTTTGGTAATTAATTATTCAAATCATAAACCCTTTAATTTAAGCAAAATCGTTTACATTTACCGCTTTAAAACCCTAGACAGAAAATATCGACCTTTAACAATCAAGCAGCTCTCGGCTGCTTCTCTCCCGGTTCCGACATAGTGTGTGAAGGGATGAGAGGTGGGTGGTTCAATCGATGGGATAAAGAGGCGGCAGTTGGTTCGAAGGAAGCAGTTATCGATCGGTGCCCTACCCCTCTAATCAATCGAAGACGCTGACGGTAAGGGAAACGAAGGAACAGGGCATGTCGACAGAGCTTCTGTGATAGTTGGGAAATCGCAAGGAGGTGCGGAGGGAAGAGGCATCGGGACAGCACCGATCCAGGGGGCGTTCGATTGTTGTGTTTGACAGGAAGAAGAAAAGACGAGAAAGAGAGGGGAAGATGCCCTTCTCCGGTGACTCTCTTATCGATCGGTGCCCTATACCACTGTGTATTCCAATACAACAAAATCGATTAGGCAGGGACAAGCAAAATCAGCGGCGGCAGTAGGCGACTCTGCCACTTCTTCCTTTTTTTTCTGGTGAGGTGAGAACGAGAGACAAGGAGGTTGATGGGTACATGTTTCTTTCTTTTTCTTCTTATTTTGACTGATTTACTGTAAACCAATGAAGTTTAATCTTCAAATGGGTTTTTTTAATTTGATTTGATTTCAATATATAGAATGGATGTTTGGGTTGATTGTTTGACAGAAATCAAAGAAATTTTGGATGTGTTTAGGTTTATTGTCTAATTCTTTAAAGGTGTAATATTTTTGGTGAATTGAGAATTTGTTCTGATTGTTTAACTTTTACAGAAAATTGAAAGTTGTTTTGATGCACACCAAACACTCGCTAAAATGCTTAAACTGAATGGTATTTCTTCGTTTATAGTATTCTATCAGAAAAGTTGTTTTGATACACGAATTCCAATTATGTTGGAATTTAATATGGATATTTTCTCACTAATTTATTCATTGAATTTGTTTCCACAGAAGCTGATGCTTGAAGAACGGATCACGAAATTTGAACGACGCCTCTTAGCAACATTATTCTTTTAAATTGTATTAGTGTCTTTGTTAGATTTTGATATTTTTTTCCCGATTTGAAAGTTTTTAGTTTTATTCTTTAACAATAAATGTAATTCTTAGCAATTGTTACATGTATTATATAAGAAATAATGTAATTTTTGTTTTAATTTTTCAATTGCTGGTTCGAGAATTTGTTATTCTACAATAAAATTTTTAAAGTCATGATCAAGAAATATGTTCAAGAATATTTTTATTATTTTATGGTTCTAGAATATTTTTATTTTTGAACATATTCAAACATATTCTGTCAGAATGTCCGAATTAAAAACATTATAATTCGTAAAATCGGATTTTTAAAAATAATAGAATCTATGATCCCTTAAAATATGCAAATTTTCTTTATTAAATGTATATTAATTGACTAAAATATCATTCTAGTTAAATTTGATGGTATTTATCAATTATATTTAATTCAATAATATGTATTAATCAATTTCTTAAAATAAATAAAATGATTGGCTCATATTTTTGTATACAATAACACAATAATTACTTTGAATATAATAACTTAAGTATATATATATATATATATATATATATATATATATATATATATATATATATATATATATATATATATATATATATTATATATATATATATATAGTAGTTACCGTTTTATAATGTGTAAATTTTTTTGACACCATATCATTGTTTTGAAGGATTATGTTTTCTTTATTACAATCTTCAACATCCGATGCTGCGTCACCTCCACCAATAAATATGAACTGATACACATTGAAATTAGACAACGAGACCTTGCTGATAGGACTACGTTCGAAATTAATCAATTTATAATTTTCGCAGTTGTGCAAAAGCAATTGTTAGTATTTAAAATCTCATTACTCCTTAAGAAACAAATGTTAGGGAAAAACATTGAATCCCCGTAGCTTGTTTCCTGCTGGCATATTGAAGTCTATTTTGAAATTTTAATTAAAAAAGTATTATCGACAAAAAAAATTCTAAATTCTCAAGAATCTTTAAATTGTCAAATATATATATGTATATTATGAATTTAAGGTTAAAGAGCCAACATATTCCATTTGATCAATAATCTTTCATAGCTTTCTGCGCACACTTTTGTAAGGTTTATGAGCGTTCTACGCAAAGGGGTTTTGCTGGCTACGCGTCACACATTTTTGACCTTTTTTTTCCTTGTGAAGTTACCATAATACCCCCAAGTCTCAACGTCTCTCTCCCCAACCATACATGACGCATATTTCACCGGCCACCATATAAAAAATTCTGTGGTTTTCGATTCACATGATTTCGATACCACCCAACCCAAATACTAATCATACCAAATTTATTTCCACTAGAACCACAATATTTTGTATTAATATATTAATATTATTTTAATCTATGAATTCCCATTTAACTATGCTACAAACTTTGAGTAAAGTAATTGTTATATTAACCAAATATAAAATACAAAATTTTTTATCATTCTATTTATCATATTGGATATTATTATTTTTATTATTATTGATTTTTTTATAAAAAAAACTGTATTTATATATTTATGTTAGAAACGTAATTTGGAAGTTGGAACAAAGAAAATTGTCACACAATCGACTAATATTGCATCTTAACCAAAATAATTGAACACTGTTAAACACTATTAATTATTGTGGACGGAGTTAATTTTGAATTAATTAAACTATGCCGATAATCAAGTGGTCTAGCTTTAGTCTATAGTAGCATTATTTAATGTATCTTTCTAATCTTTCGGTTACAAGTTTCATTTTTTATATATATATATATATATATATATATATATATATATATATATATATATATATATAATTGTTTGTTTCTTATTTTTAAAAATATATATAAAACCTACGAGAATACAAGACCCCTCTTTCTCTCTCTTTCACATATATATAAACACAAAACAAAGAAAATAAGCAAATTATAGTGTTGAAAAAAACACTACATCAAAATGAAACACCAACTCCTCAATTCTCTCTCTAAAACCACCGTATGTATATCGTTTCTCCTCCTCTTCCTCCATCCCTTATCCGGAGGCGCAACCACACCTTTGCGGCACATAGTTTCATTCGAGAAAGGATTCACTCAACTTTTTGGTGGCGACTCCAATCTCCTCCGCTCCGATGATGACAACACCGTCCATCTCCACCTCAACCAGTACACAGGTATCCATTCTCCTTCCTCTCTCTCTCTCTCTCCTCTCTCTCTCTCTCTCTCTATCTATCTATCTATCTCTCTCTCTCTCTCTCAATATATATTTGTATATCGTGTGAACTATATCTTTTGAAAAACGATTTCAGGTGCTGGGTTTAGATCTTCCGACTTGTACAACCATGGAGTATTCAGTGCTAGAATCAAACTACCTTCTGAGTATACAGCCGGAATCGTAGTAGCATTTTATGTACGTAACTCTTCGTTAACCCTTTACTTTCATAGTTTCATCTACTTTTAAACTCGATCGAGTAGAGTGTTCGATCATCTAATACACCCTTTAATCATATAATTCAGACAGTATGATGTGTTTATGGGTTATATAATAAATTTTAATATAATTTGGTATACATGCAGACTTCTAATGGAGATGTATTCGAGAAGACGCATGATGAACTTGACTTTGAGTTTTTAGGGAATATAAAAGGGAAGCCATGGAGGTTTCAAACCAATTTATACGGAAATGGAAGCACAAGCAGAGGTAGAGAAGAAAGATACACCTTGTGGTTTGACCCTTCCAAAGCCTACCATCGTTATACCATCTTTTGGACCTCTTCCAAAATAATGTAATTAACCTTCTTTCTTATCTTTATTATTAACTTTAATCATAAGTTTTTTCAAAATTCATATATTGAATATATAAATGTCAAAATATGATCATGAAAAGGTCAATTCCGTGTTAAATTTTGAAACTTCGAATCGAAGAAATTTGAGTCATAAAGAAAGGACAGCACTAAAGTTATAGTTACATCAACGCTAATTCAGTGAACATTTGGACAATTATATAGCTAGCTAGCTTCCATTTAATATAAAGTTATAATCACGTCTTATCATTAAAAGTGTATTTGATAAATAATCAAGTACATATATATCTATTATCTAAATCATGTTTTTAGCTAAACAATAAAATGATTTTTTTATAATCATCTTTTTGGAATATGTGCAGATTCTATATCGATGAGGTTCCAATAAGGGAGATATTAAAAAGCGATGAAATGGGAAGCGATTTCCCTTCAAAACCTATGGCTTTATACGCCACCATATGGGATGCTTCAACTTGGGCTACCAATGGTGGAAAATATAAGGTTAATTACAAATATGCCCCTTTCGTGACCGAGATGACTGACCTCGTTCTACATGGTTGTATTTCGGATCCAATTCAAGAACTTTTAACAGACAACTGTGCCCAAATGGACAAACAACTCGAAACACTTCGCTACAACAATATCACACCTAAACAACATATTGCCATGAAAAGATTTAGGGAAAAATACATGTATTATTCATACTGTTATGATACTTTGAGGTACCCAATTCCGCCACCAGAATGTGTGATTGATTCCGCTCTTAGACAACGGTTTAAAGAGAGTGGGAGGTTGAAGTTTGAAGGGAGGCATCATCGCCACTCCAAAAAAGGAAATCATGTTTTGAGCAGTCAAGTATATGAAATTCAAGATCAAGATTGAGGATATAGAAAAGATTGTTTGTGTATAATACGAGTGGTTTTTATAATTATATGATTGGATTGTTTGAATTTTTCAGTGTATTTAATAATTAATATACGTAATGTAAACATATGAGGATAAAACAGAAATAAAACGATACATGATGGATTATAGTTATCAAAAGAATTCATTATTCTTTGAGGTTATTAGATTTAGAAAGTGTTATGTACTTGGGCTTGAAATTGTTAAAACACGTTTAAAATAGATTACAGATTTTAAGATCAAATCTCATTTTTAAGATATTTGTTAAATTATTAGTGATGACAAGTGATACAATTTTCACCATGTCAACTTTTACACATCTCTGAATAAAGTTTTCTTGATCTTGGCATCTTAGGTTGTTTAGTTCTCGAGCCTACTTCTCTATACATACACATGTATGCATGCATACATTTGTATCCACTGTTTCTTAAACATGCATTTTCATGCTTTCTAAACAAATTTTATGCCCACAAGGCATTGAACTTTAGACCAAGAGGTGGGGTCTTCTCACACAACCCTCACACCTCATTTAATTTAAGTTCAATTTTATAATAAATATAAGTTATTTAATAACTATAAGAAATATATTTTATTATCAACAACTTCATTTAATTTAAGGTCAATTTTATTATTAATAGTTTTATTGAAAATCTTTAAAAATGGTCTTTGTGGTTTCCAAAAAAATCGAATTCAGTCCTTAATTTTTTTCGGCCTCAAAGAAGGTCCACGTGGTTTTCAATTCTATCGTGTGTGGTCCCTCACACATATAAAAAGACATTTATACCATTTTTATTCGGCATGCTGAATGTGTTTAGCTCTACTCAGACCCTTTGTGAGTGGATCTGCAGGATTCTCTTCAGATGATACCCTCTTCAGTACGAGGAGATCTTCTTCTACTCTATGTCTGATGAAATGGTATTTTCTGTCAATATGTCTTGACTTGCCATGATCTCTTGGTTCCTTTGTCAAGGCAACCGCTCCTTCATTATCACAGAAAAATTCCATTGGATCGTTGATGGTTGGCACAACTCCAAGATCTCCGGTGTTCAACCAAATTGCTTCCTTCGATGATTCGCTATCCGCTATGTATTCTGATTCACAGGTAGAATCAGCAACCGTCTCTTGCTTGGAACTTTTCCAAGTAACTACTCCTCCATTCAAGGTAAACATTCCCAGCCAACTTCCTATTAAGGAAAGCGGTTTTGACATCAATCTGCCAAATTTCATAGTCATGAAAGGCAACTATGGCTAGCATGATCCTGATAGATTTTATCTTAGCCACTAGTGAAAAGGTCTCATCATAGTCAACCCCTGGGGTTTGAGTAAAGCCCTTCGCAACCTGTTGTGCTTTGAATGTGTGCACATTACCATCCATTTCGTTCTTCTTCTTGAAGATCCATTTGCAACCAACTGTCTTCCGACCAGGTTGTTGACCAACCAAATTCCAAACATGGTTGTCATACATGGACTTGATCTCTCTGTCCATTGCCTCTTTCCATTGGGCAGCCTCAGGGCCTGCCATTACCTCCTTGTAGTTAACCGGTTCATCCAAATTTACCAGTGTACTGTCACTGATAAACGTATCACCATCTATAGTAATATGGAAACCATAGAACTCAAGTGGCATGCTGACTTTACTGGAACGCCTAAGAGGTATTGAATTGTTAACTGGTTCAACTGGAATCTCATCCTCTGGTTGAACCCTAGCGTCTTCAGAGGTTCCTTCAACATTTTATTCTTGAATCTCTTCAAAGGTCAATGGTACTCCCACTATCCTCTTTGCATATGAGCTCTTTCTCACGAAAGACTCCTCTTCATGCTTCAAATATCACGTTCTCACTAGGTTTGTAGAACAAATATCCAAAGGACTTCTGTGGATAGCCGATGAAAATACATTTCTCACTATGAGGTTCAAGCTTGTCGTGAGTCTCTCGTCTAACGAAAACGTCACAACCCCAAACCTTGATATGTGCTAACGAGGTAACCTTCTCTGTCCACATGCAGTGACGTGTTTTGGCAACCTTCTTAGTTGGGACAAGATTAAGAATATGGGTGGTAGTCTCTAAGGCATACCCCCATAATGAAATTGGAAAAGAAGTTTGACTCGTCATGGAACGAACCATGTCCAACAAGGTTCGATTGCGCCTCTCAGCCACACCATTAAGTTGTGGTGTCCTAGGAGGGGTCAATTGTAAAACTATTCCACATTCCTTGAGGTAGTCGTGGAACTCGATACTAAGATACTCTTCGCCTATATCTGATTGGAGCATCTTTATCTTCCTGCCCTATTGATTCGCGACTTCATGTTTAAACTCTTTGAACTTTTTAAAGGTTTTTGATTTATTTTTGATTAAGTAAATATAGTCATATCTACTATAATCATCTGTAAATGTTACGTAAAATCGATTTGCATCCCTTGTGGTGGATCTGAAGGGCCCACACACATCTATATGTATGAGGTCCAATAAACCTTCACCTCTTTCACAAGATCCAGTGAAAGTTGATTTTTTCATCTTATCCTAAAGACAAGATTCGCATGCATCCAACCTTAGGTCAAATGATTCCAATACTCCATCCTTTTGGAGTTAGGCGATGCGTTTCTTGTTAACGTGGCCAAGAAGATGATGCCACAAGCATGCTTTGTCTATACCATTAAACGAATCAATTTGAAATACAATATTGCCTAAATTGTCTATACACATCACAGTTTCATACACACCATCACAAGGTAAAGCTTCAAAATAAAAAACACCATTTTTATAAGCAGAAATAGAACCATTCAAATTATTAAATGAATGTCTAAATCCTTGTCTGAACAATGCATGAAAAGAGATAATGTTTATTGTTATTTATGACGAGTAGCAATAATTTATTAAATCTAAACTAACATCATTACTAAGCACTAGACTATAAACTCCAATCTTGATAATAGTTGAAGATCGCCTATTCCCCATGATCAAGTTCATTCTACCGTGCTCCACCTCCTCACTTCTTCTTAGCCCCTACAAATCAGAACAAGTATGAAATCCACATCCTGTATCAAGGAACCAAGAACGAGAAGATGATGAGTTATTAGATGAAATAGTGTATATAGCTGCAGAAGTTGGATTCACCTTGCCATCTTTGATATCTTGCAGATACTTCGGGCAGCTTCGTTTCCAATGTCCCTTGTCGTTGCAGTAAAATCAGATAGCCTCTTTGGGATCAGAAGATGGTGGGTGATCAGAACTGGACTTTTCCTTTAGGGCCACTATTGGATGACCCTGCATGAGACTTTCCCTTCCAGTTTTGCTTGGGAGGACCTTTCCTCTTTTTACCCTTACCTTGACCAATGTCCAGAACGGGAGCACTAACAGGAGTGGAGACAATACTTTTTCCTTTCATAACTACTCCAGCTGTCTGCAGAAGGTTGTGCAATTGAGCCAAGGTGGTCTCACTGTTGTTCAAATGATAGGTCAAGATGAACTAATCATAACAACTTGGTAAGGAGTGCAATAATATGTCAATAGCCAACTCCTCATCAAAGTGCACATTAAGCCTAATAAGGCGCTCCACGTAACGTTCACGTGGCCACAGACAGATTCTCCCTCTTTCATTTTGCATGCCATGAGGGACTTTACCACCTCGTATTTTTCTTGACGAGATCACTTATGGTACTTCTCCATAAGGTCCTTGTTCATCTCATACGACCAATAATCCTCATAGAATCTCTGCAACTCAGGGGTCATCATTGCGACCATGATGCCAACAAATTTTGTTGCATCATTGTAGTGCCTCTTGTAGGCAGCTAATTCTTCAGGAGTGGCCTTCTCTTCGTCAATCTCAGTTATTTCTTTCTCAAGGACATATTCCTTGTCCTCGAAACAAAGGGCCATTTTGATGTTGCGCATCCAGTCTTTGTAATTGGTGCCATCCGATGTCACATTTGAGCAGATGTTCAACAACGAGAAGTTTTCATTGGAGGAAGAGGAACCAAAAGCAACATTTGGAGTAGATATCTGTAAAAGGAATGCAATTTTAGTTAGATAACAATAATCCTTAATGTAGCAACCCAAAAATGAAATATTAAGTCTAGGATCCAACTATATAACTCACAACTTAGAAAAGGAATGTCGTAATCTAACTGTAAATTTTATAAAGATAGGTAAATGACGATTTACCAATTCCACCAATAGAAAACAAAATTTTAAAAGGAAATTAATTTTTTAATGAAATTCCTAGATCGATCTTTTGAGATTCATTGAAACTATTCAATGACATGTTAATCTCGGATTATGCTCTTCTATTTGTGAATAGGATACCGAGGATCACAAACAAGATGTGAATAACCATGGAAATGTGCTTGGTAACCTCATTGACATTTATCATCTCAATTTATGTGCTGGTAAACCACACACGCAGCATCAACAATGATAATTTATGAGATACCCATTATAACTTTTTATTAGTCCCTATTAGTGTGTTGGTTAACCACACACGCTCCACTAGTGGCTTATAAAGTGTAATGTGCAATTTCATGGGTTAGTGCAACATCCCAAAAATACGGTCCAAAATTTTCATTTTTATTTTATATATAAAACCATAGTAACTTAAAATCATTTCAGAAAACATAAGTGATAATATCTCAAAACATCATATCAAAACACACTGTATCAAAATCACATGTCCAAATATCAGAGTAAATCATCCCAGGCTAAACGTTGTGGTGTGTGCAATGCAGTCATCCCAAGCTCTTCCCCTTACTAGCGGAAGTACCTAAAACCAAAACTGAAAACTGTAAGGACGAAGCTTAGTGAGTCTCCCCAAACTACCACATACCATACACATAATCACATAACATAACATTGGCCTTGCCCACTACATCGGGCCCCGCCCGGCATCGGGCAAAGCTCGGTATACATATCAACATATCAACTATACACATGGATAATCACATAACCTAAACATATAAACATTCCTCGGGCCCCGCCCGGCATTGGACTGACATCCGGAAACATATAACATAACATATAAACATTCCTCGGGCTTTCCCTGGCATCGAACCGAAGTCCGGAACATATAAACAAGCACATGTAAGAATCACGAAGACATCAAGCATACAAACATTCCTCGGGCTTTCCCCGGCATTAGACCAAAGTCCGGAACAT